AATGTCACTCTGAGCCGTAAACGCCGTAGTGGCGTGTGCCACAACGGTACCAGCCGGCACACACACGCTTTCAGAAGTCGCATTTAACACCTGCAAAAACGGGCGCTGATCCGGACGGACAATGGTTTGCGCCCCCACCAGTGCCAATCCGCCCGTAACAGCGGCGGACGGCGACAGCAAAATTCCACAAGCACTCTGCCGACCCGGAACCGGCTTCCGGTATCGTAGGGGAATGAGCATCTGCGAGCCAGGTGGAATATCAACTGAAACTTCAGATAACGCCTGCACCTGGGCAACCGGAGCCGGTCGCCCCCAGGTGGACTGTAAAAACGCCAATTTGCGGCCCCCTGGCAGTTCAATGCAATTTTCATTGATTCTAATTAAAATGGGCATCTTAGCCAAAAAATCCGTGCCCAACAAGCAAGGAACCGCCAGGGACCTCGAAATTAACACAACGCCCGAGGCCGAGACCCCCCCGATAGAAATATTAGTGTCCACCTGTCCCACGATGCCCATACTACCCCCGTTCGCAGCGATGCAGGAAGCGTAAGCCGGCCTCACGGCCCCCGGTGGGATGTTCAAAAGATGGAATATGACATCCGAAATAATGGTCGCGGACGCCCCGGAATCCACCAAAATACGCACGTCCACCCCTTGGATCGACCCCGGTACAGTGGACGAACCTGTAGCGGCCGCGACAACCCGCCGAGCCAACTTACGCCACTGCGTTATCGAGCGACAAGGCGCAGATACTGGCCTCCCATATTTTAGAACATCCGCGTCGCACAACAACGGCGATGAGTGAGGTGTCAGGCCTTGCCGGGTGTCTGGTGCGCACCGACTTGCCTGTGCCGGAGGGTCTTTCTTTGGGACGTCCGCGATCGAGGCCTCCTGCTGGGGCGGCCCCGGAACCCGGGCCCAGCAGTCCCTGGCATAGTGGCCCCGACGGCCGCAGCGGAAACAGTCGACGTCGGGTCGGCGCGCAGCAGGCACCCCGTCCCGACGTGGCCGCGCCGGCGGCGGAGCCCGCGGCCCCGGCTCGCTTCGAGCCGGCCACGGAGTGGAGGCGGCCGACAGCTCCTTTGGGCCGGTCGCATCCGGCACGTACACGGCCTTTGTAGGGTCCCACCCTACGGCCCCCCCATCGACGACAGGACCGCCCGTCCACGCCGTGACTTGTTTCCAGCGGCGGAGATTGAACTGGGCGTCCAAACACTTGGCCGCGGTCCGGGACGTGAGTTTCTCGTGACCGCACGCCGGCATAGGAATGCCCAGATCCCGGGATAACTCTAACATCTTCCCCAAGATGAGAGGTTCCAGCAGGTCAGGCTCCGTCTCCGGGTAAGCGGCCATCGCGAGTTCCAGCACGGCGCCCCTGTACGCTACAGGCGACTCCTCCGGTGCGCGTTGCCGCTGCACGAAGCGGCGATGGGCGTCATCCGGTGGCTCGTACGCGTCCGCCATTTCGTCGAACACTCCACGCAATGTTTTCTTCTTCGCAGCTTTTATAGAGCGAAAAAAACGAACAGACTCATCGTCAAGGAGAGTCGGAAGCACCTCCAGCGCCTCGGCGTCCGTCCACCTTGCCGTTCGTACCGCCGCCAAAAATCGACAAGCGAACGCACTCCAATCGCCCCCGATGGAGAACTCCTTAACAGTTGTAAGGTGACGACTGCGGCTCCTTGGCCTGCTTCCGTCCGTCACCGACTCTTCCGGCGGCAAGTTCAGCAAGGCGTCGCAACGCGGTGTCTCCAAGATGGCGGACGATCCTCGTGGCGGCCCCAAAATGGCGGCTTCCCGCCTTCCGTGGTGCGCCACGCCCAAGATGGCGTCTTCACGCCGCGTGGTCGATGGCGGCGCCATCGAAGACGACCCGGGCTCCTGCCGATCACCACCATCACCTACCAACGCCGCCCTTGGCGTGACAAGGTCACACAACTCCGTGATGACGGTTTTTAGGGTCGCCAGTTGCTCCGCCATCCGGGTCCATCTTAAATCTTCGTCCTTCAACGCAGATGGGTCGGACGCAGCGGCAACCTCCTCCACACCCGGGCCCTCACGGATCTCTCCCTCCGCCGAAGTGAAGCCGACCTCAGGAGGAAGATCGTCGTCGTCCGATGATGAAGCCGACGCCGGAGATGGGATATTCTTCTTCCTCAGTTGTTTCGCCATGCCGTTTCACTTCTGACTCCAGTGTAATAAAAGGACTCGAACACTTCTTTCTGTCTTCGTGTCTTTATTCAGGTTCACGTCTTTACCCACACGGCACTCTGTTATAACTCCTGTATTTGTAGCCCCCGGCTATTCACTGCTATTATAGCTTCCTCACCCCTCTGACTCTCTGCTTCATCTACTGTAACCTCCTCCCTGCAGACTTGCTGCTACCCCTATGTGCAGACCCTCTGGCTGTCACTGTATGCAGACCCGCTGCCCACTCTCTCTGTGCAGCCCCGCTGCTGACTGCAGCCTCCTTGCTGCTTCGGGTCGGTCACCGCTGGCCAACGGTGCCGATCCTCGCTTCCCCCGTGTTCGTGGCGATCTCGCCACACCCCGCTTCGCCCTACGTGGCCTTCCTCTGTTCCTGGCTCCCAGTCACTCCCCCTGCTCTTCCGGTTCCCCTCCTTCTATACTCAACCCCTCTCCCCCCACGTGACCTAACTCCTCCCCCCCTGACGGCACCTCAGAAGGGCCGTTTACAACCGCATTACATATATATTCTTTTAATTCGAACCTCCGCATACTCTTAGGTTTTTCGGTAAAGTCACGCAGGTAAAAAAATAAATAATAAAAATATAATTGAAATAATAATAGAAATAAAATAATAAAGCACGACGTTTCGGAGGCAACACAAGTCTCCGTCATCAGGTGGGACCGTCACAGCTAGATTTACTGTCTCAAGTGTTTTACTGTCTCAATCTAGCTGTGACGGTCCCACCTGGTGACGGAGACTTGTGTTGCCTCCGAAACGTCATGATTTATTATTTTATTTGTATTATTATTTCAAATATTTTATTATAATTTATTTTTTACCTACATGACTTTACTGAAAAACCTAAGAGTATGAATCCTTGCAGTCACGAAAGCTTCAAATCTAGAACGAACCTCCGCAGCCAACAAGCTCACGTGCGTCCAGTGTTGCCAACCCAGTTCATTTTGTTGCCAGAACGAGTGACTTTTTTGGGGGATTTTCCCAGCTACAAAGATTTGTCAAATGACTCGTGACATATATGTAGGGGACGTTCTGGGATGAGGATATGATACAAATATATCTTTACTACTGCACCTCCGATTTCCCGCACCTCCTATTAGCACGGTTGGCTACGTACGATATGAAATAGGTTAAACATACACACATACATACTCCTGTACAATCAAACATCTATAACGGACTCCAACTTAATCACACTAACGTTGCCCAACTTCCTACACAAATTAAGTTACTATTATAATATTGGCACCACGGCATATCATAATGTTTAGTTTGATCAGAATTATATTTATTTATCCTGGAGAAATCCGATGAGCTATGAAGATTTTTTTAAAGATGTCCAGTAGAGGCACGGGGTCAGAAAGTTACAACAACAAACACTGCAAAAAAACCAATACGAGTGCAAAGTATAGGAAAGATAAGCCAATCACTAAATATAAATACATAAAATAAATAAAGTATATCATTCTAGATTTGAAGCTTTCGTGACTGCAAGGATTCATACTCTTAGGTTTTTTTCGGTAAAGTCACGTAGGTAAAATAAATAAATAATAAGGAATAAGCTTTGTATAAATAATAAAATAAATAAAATTATAAATCACGACGTTTCGGAGGCAACACAAGTCTCCGTCATCAGGTGGGACCGTCACAGCTGAATTTACTGTATTAAGTATTTACTTATTTATACCTACGTGCCTTTACCGAAGAAAAACCTAAGAGTATAAAGTATATCAGCTAAAATTGCGTAAATACACCAATTCCCAAGTTTAAACAAGGCGGCAACACAACAGCAAGAACAGTCCCAGACCACACGAAGACAACAACACACAGTCCCTCGATAACATTGCACATTCAAATTCAAAGGATTAAAGTTACAAATCATATTTGCAAATGCTTCAGAATATTACTGCAAGGTTGTTCAACAATGCGAGTGCTGCAACGGCAAAAGCTTTGTCACCTTACTCCGATGCTTGTTTTTGGATAGTTAAAAGTCAATTAGATGGACGTCTTGGGTTTTTTATTTGATTTTATTCAGGTTAGAACTAGACTACAGTCTACATTATAGACTGCCAGTATGCTCACTCAGTTTAATAACAATTGCTACAGTCTACATCATAGACTGCTAATACGCTCACCAGCTTAAAAACCAGGCTACAGTCTACATTATAAACTGCCAGTACACTTACTCCGATTTAGAACCAGGCTACAGTCTACATTCGTGTTTTTTTGTTTTATTATTATTTGTATTTTATTATTTATATTTTTTTATTAACTTGTTTTTATTTATACGTGTCTTCACCGAAAAAAACTAAGAATTTGACAATGAGGTTAATGAATTAGCCAAGTATAGTACAGATTTGCCAATAAATATTTAACGGATGTACAGAACCCAATGTAGATTTCTTATTGCATCAAGTGAAAGGCGATTTGATTTTAAGTAGAGGTCACAATGGTGGGTCCTGTATGGTACATCCAGTGCAACTCAAATAGTAAAATTATGAAGCGGGCTTAGTCTGTTTATGGAACCTCGACCATGCAATTACATCACACAATCGCCGAGGAACCATAGACGAGTGGGAAGGCAGCAGCTATACGGAGAGCCAGCGCCGACAATTGTCCAAGCTCTGCAGTCCTCCATATGCCGAGATGTTTCGGTAAATTGTCGAGTGTTAATACACGTGGGAGGAAACCAGAGCACCTGGCATGGCAAGTAAAATGTTTTTTTCAGAACTCCTCTCGACACCATAAACACCAACCATTGAACACTGCTAGGAAACGAAACAGAACCTACCAGCCACAACAAGTCCCAAGAGGAAGAGGGCAATCATCGTGCCACTTGTTTCATGCAGGCAACGCAATTCGCGATTAATGACTGAAGCAATGGTTTATATAGCGGGCAGAACACCGCATGTGCCGTGTATCTGTCAACACCACAAGGTTATATCAATAGTGTCACGGTTATCTTTATATGATAGCCTACCATGGTCAGGGACATTTTAAGCAATGAGCATCACCTGGGCTGATTCCCGAGTAAAGACATTGTTATTGAATATCCTATTGCTATGTATCTTTTTGGTTTTAGGAAATAACATTACGACGCTTTTTTGAATTTCTCAACGACTGTATGTTGGTGCTTATGAGATTTGTGTACTGAATTGTCTCTTCAACAAATTGACGTATCATTGATTTTGACAGTCTTAGACTGCGTGCTCCTATATCTAGCTCTAAATATTACTGCCGCAAGAAATATTTGGCATTTGGATGGACATGTATATATATAAAACAAACTACCAGGTAAGGCCCACTGAGCTATATAACTATTTTCAGAAGCGCCCAGGCCACAAATGATGGCGCAACGAAGTAGCTTATTGCGTGGAAATTAATAGCAGACATATACTCTAAACGTTGCATTCTATTAAAGCCATTTCAGATGTATCTCCTTTATTTACCCCAGTGTCTACATTCCAAATATACACTGTGGCTCAATGAGCTCCCTCTCTCTCTCTTGCTCATCTGACAAGTAATTAATTTTGCAGAGAGCAAAGCGAGAACATACAGAGGGCCCTTTTTGCTGTGAGCCGCGAGTGTGTCCCCACGGCGCCGTGACCTTGATGCCCTGGCCGTTCACGCCACTGCGGGCGAAAGGGGCCACCGCGAGAGGGAGCTCGAGAGACAGCCCCAAGAGCAGGCGCTCGGCAACCTTTCGTAGCAGAAGAAGATACATTTCTGTTGTTGTTTTTGTCTTTGACCAAAATAGTTAGAGGGCGGCATCGCACGCAGGGATACTTGTACACAAACACAGCAGGTATAAAGAAAATGACAACACACATTCTGAATTAAATAAAACTATATTATGGAATAAACTGCGTCTATTTAGTTTTTTCCCCCTCCCTTAGTTATTCTTTAACAATACAGTTTGACTGTTGCACATTTTATTTTCACCAAGACATTCCATAGTGACCCATTCCGTGCTATATGTATTAAATTATCTTCACGTTAAATTAGTTTAAGATGTTCGTGTTTTTTTAAGCCAGACGGAAGCCAAAGAGCTGCATGTGGCTCTGGAGCAGCAGGTTGCCGAGCCCTGCCCTAGAGGAGCTCTTGGGAGCCCCTCTAGAAGGGACTTTGGTCTATTCCTCCACGCTGGTCAATGAAATCGTCTTGGATGAAACTAAAAACTCTTGAAACTTTATTTTTATTCTACCAGGTAAGGCCCACTGAGCTATGTAGCTCTTTTTCAGAATTGACTTGGTCACAAATGATAGCTCAACGAAGTGGCTTATCACCTTGGAATTTATAGCAGCCAAATACTCTAAAAGCATGTTTCTAAGTATGGAGGGGAAAAAAACGGAGGATCCGGATAAAAATCCACGCGACCATGGGGAGAGAGACATGCAAACTCAAAATATAAAGGTGCCAGGGTTGCGATCGAACCCACGCCCTCCTGTAAACCAGGCGAGGTACTTAGCATCTCGCCACGTAGCTCTCACAAAGTGGAGGTGCCCACGTTCTCCTCCACCACACGTGGCCTGCTGATAGTCTAACTACCGTGTAGTGTACCCATGTATACTGCTGTGCGGACAAGTTGGCGGTATCAAATAAACTTTCCCATTGTTCCAGCCGCCATGCCGGGGAGATGGAGCCGGTGACCTCCGGATTACATGTCCAGGTGCACAAACCATGGTTTCACATCAAATAGAACAATCTATCAAGTGGATGTGGTATTATGTTATTTCGCCATAATGAAATCGTGTTTTTTTGCGATCCACGGATAAGCCAATATTGACCGGTGTGAGTTTTACCAACTGGAGGGTTTGGGTCTGTTTCCCTGCGCCCACCTGACCTTGCAGATACCGTTCGCGAAGGCCAGTGTCGAGGAAAGCAACGTTGTCTGCAAACATGATGCTGTCGCTACCAACAAACAACTTCACTACGCTGTATTTTGTTTAAAATTCTGCGCGTTTTTCCTTGTTCACGCGAATATTTTACAACGTGCAATGCTGTATCCGTATTATTATCCGTATCTAGGAAATAGGCATAGTTTTGGCAAAAAGGTAGTTATTCCAACTTGTAGTGGAATATTATTATCTTTGAACATTTGCCAAGAGAGGGACGATGGAGTTTTAAAAATAGGCAACCTTCTGCACGCTAAAAGTGGAACCTAAATATGGACAATTATCTGCTGAATACGAACACGTTAAGCGGAAGGAAGCAATTTCAACATGACCATTCAGAAGGTATGAACCAAGAGAATGCCCTTTTGCAAAGGATATCGCTTCGATTGACTCCGTGACTGGAACAATTGTAGCCGCCTGCATTCTTTGTTGTGCAGGCCATCGAAAACGCTATTGTTCAAATGTATCGCTATACAATAGGTGGTAAATGTTGAAAAGCTAAGTAAAACATTCGATCCACATTGTTGCAGCTCCTGTAAAAGAAACAACAACTCATGACCGAAAGGAGCATTGCAATATCACCGCAGAGAAGTTGAATTTTTAAACTATTACCAAATCAGCTTGAGCCTCAATAAAAAACAGACATTGCTGCGGCCTTTCTCACCCCTGACATTTCCACTACATCCCAGGAATGCCAGGTGTTGTACGTTTCCCCACCTACTGTGTGTGTGTGAACAGCTGCGCTATAAAAGATTCCAAGAACACAGGATGAGATGTTACTATCCTTTGTGCAAGCACTTCCAAGAGTTCATGAACAGTAAGCCTGGTGAAATTTGGGGAGCGCATCGTCAGTAGTGTACCTTTGGTTCCTAGGGTGTTTCGGCCTTTCATACTATACACCCTCCCCAAAGGCGGCCAGCGGCAGGGTGATCAATCCTACGCTTGCGTCCCATTCCCAATTAGTCATAGGAGTTGCCTTGTTGTTGATAGCCAACATCCCATGGGACTATGCATGGCAGGGGCGTCCCCTCCCTGAGTCAAGCATTGTTGACTGCATACCTCCTGGCCTTCTCACTTCGGGGCCCAGCTGGGGTTTTTCCTCTTCATCCAGAGTCACTGACTGCTGCCTTCTGCTGCCTCCGATACAGCTCTGATTGCCGAACGCTGGCTATGGCCCTTAATTCCCAGGTCTCTAAACAGTCTGGTTGTAGATGTTGCCACAAAACATCTGCAGCCCACCTCCACTGGTCGGACTTCTGTGTTCCAGCCATGATGCCGTGTTTCGGCAGCTAGATCGACATAGCGCAGACGTTTTCGCTCATAAGCCTCATCTACTGAGTCCTTCCAGGGTACTGTGAGCTCAATGATGAAGACCTTCTTGAGCGAACGGGACCAGAGCACCATGTCAGGTCTTAGGGTGGTGGTTGCGATCTCCGGAGGAAACACAAGTTGCCGGCCAATGTCAGCTAGCATTTTCCAGTCACGGGCCAAGCACAGCTGGTCTCGCTCTAATGGTGTAGAGCCGCTTTTCAGTGGTTTAGCCCCTTCGCGGACAACGGTCGTCCGTAAGGGGTGTGATGCTGCTGGGGGTGGTAGGGAGTTGGTGGCAGCTCGCTTGTCCTCCAGGGCGAACGCAAGGTTTTTAAGGACTTGGTTGTGACGCCAAGTGTAGCGTCCTTGGGTGAGGCTTGTTTTACACCCTGTGAGAATGTACCTGAGGTTGGCTGGCATGGAACAAAGGGCACAGTCCGGATCTTCACCATACCATTGGCGAAGATTAACTGGTGTTGGAAGGACGTCATATGTTGCTCTGATGGAAAAGCTCAACCGCCTCGCTTCCATGGCCCACAGATCCTTCCAGCTGATCTTCCTCTTCTCCACACTGTCCCATCGAGTCCACTGTCCCTGTTTGGCAAGAGAGACTGCCTTGGCCCACCTTGCAGCCTCCTCCTGATGGCGTACTTCCTGCACTACCATCTTCCGCCGCTCTGGTGCAGTGGCCTTACTCCAAGCAGCACGGCTAGTTAGCCCAAGGCCTCCTCTCCCTTGCTGAACATGACCCACAATGTCAGCATGTCTGAGGGCTGCTGTTGCCTCCTGGACTGCTTTTCATGGTCTCCATTTGCGCCCAGTTGCCAAGGTCGGCGCGTTGTTGCTCACCACTGGGTCTCGAGATTCATTCAGTGTCATCTGGAGCCTGGTTTTTGCACACTTGAATTCCGAGCCACTTCTTTAAGTAGCCTGTGACTCGAACAATGGGGGTAAGAAAAGGGGCGGGACTACTTTTTGTCTTACCATTGTTTCTTCATCCGCCCGTGAATGGCTCAGAGATGTTCCATGCCACGGTGGAAATGGGCAAGGAAACAACGCTCCGCGGACTACGCAAAATCCCAGAATTGATGGAGAGCGACACGTCTCGTACGCAGGATGCTGCTGCTGTTGTTCTCCCGACATCAAATCGTCGAATTTTTTTTCTTTATCAAAAATGCTCAACAAGGGAACATGTATTGCACCGAAGTAGAAGCGTTGTCGCCGTGCTTTTCGAATGCTGAAAATACGTCGTAATCGGTTGCATTACATTCAGGATATTTGAATGCTAATGACCGGTAAGCCAAGCCTTGTGTGATAATAGACCAGACTTACCAACACTAAATATCAGCGCTACAGGCTTGCATTCTCCCCGTGACGAACTCTTGCACCACTCAGAGCTGCCGTTACTCAATCGAGGATTAAATGTGATAATGCAGCAATGGATAAGAGTCCTGGTAGTGGTGTTACCCAATGACAGTTTCCAGAGTCATTGTAAGAGCGCACGTCCACACGAGACGATATTTTTAGATTCTAGGACAAAGTGAGCTTCCAGTTTAAATGATCGTGTATTACCGCTCACACAGATTACTCGTTCCTGCGTGTCCGTATGTCATTATCTACACACGTTTACACGTTATTGTGCTGCTCCATACGTTATACACTTTACACAATTGCACGTCAATGCGAACCTGAATTAAACGGTTTGATGCGTTTGTTTCAGCTGACAAATACTGCCAGAAACATCAACTCCACGTGGTGATGTTTCAGGATATTACACAAACGCACCAATCGCGTGAACTCTCTCCTACATGTCCACTCTGCGGTGGCCTGTTTGGTCATTTTACCGCTACGAACGTACGTAAACATTTCAACACATCAGTTTAACTTATATATGAAAAAATTCAACACATCACTTTAACACGGAGGCTTTCGCGACCAATATCATCCATAATACAGGCGGCAGCCAGACAAATTTGGCTACCGCCTGATAATGGCGGTTAATATTACTGGCGAAACGTCGTACTCAGATTGTAAATGTTGCGGATTTGCTCTCCAACGCACCGGTGTGCTGTACTAGTAACGAATTGGCATGTTCTGTTTACGTGACAAACCTTACTAATTGGCTGTGTCGGGTGGTGGAGGGTTTAACGACACATTTATATTTATGCAATCTAACCCAAAAAACCTCTATTATGGATTTCAACACATCTAAGGGGGTGGGGGGGGAGGTAGCCGGAGACGTCAAATCTGATGTTACTAATGTATAAACCGGACAGCAGAGTAAAGAACCAACGGCAAGATGAAAGTACAGTGATCCCTCGTTGATCGCGGTTAATGGGGACCGGAACCCCTCGCGATAGGTGAAAATCCGCGAAGTAGGATTGGCCCCCTAGGAATTTCCATATATGTGTGTGTGGGAACCATAATGTTTAAAATATGTATATTTATACTTTATATATATATTTTACTTAAATCTAATTATAAAACCTTAATATTATACATTCACACTCACACTCTCTCTCATACGATACGTATTATGGTGTTCTACACTCACCAATGACAGTAGTATCTTGAGACTTGACTCCAGTAATGACGACGACGACGATGACGGAGAAACAGACGCAGGTGAAACACCTGCTACTGTTTGTTTGCTTAAACTAAGCCTTTTAATATATGTTATGTTAAACTTCTTTCACACAGTACGTATCCAACCGTACTAATCGGAGGTGCGGGGCGAAGGACAACAAACTAAACACTAAAATCAGTTCTGAAGAAACGAGCTTTCAATTTAGACTTAAAAGTGCATAGTTCCAGTGGCTTCGGAATATCGAAAGGAAGAGCGTTCCAGACGGCTGCAGAAGCGCATCTGAAAGCACGTGATGCGGTGACCGTCTTCGTTTTATGGCCGCCAAAAGCCGCCTCGAGGTGTACCAGAGTTCGTCTGATGATTTATGCTCCTTGACGAGATCAGTAAGGTATTGTGGTTCATTTGTAGCAAGCACTTTGTGTGTAATGAGCGTGACCTTATACAAATATTCATTTATATTTATGAGGAACAAACTGTTAATTCTCGTGAAATTGAATGATATCAAACACAATGTGTCTTCCCACTTACGTTAGCATGGGCGGCACTAATTGCGTACTTTCCTTACGTCCAATGGTGGAAATTCCACATTCACCATGGTGGGTGCGAGTCGCTTCATTATACAATTGAAGGGCTAAATTAACCCAGTTGCGAGTCACGTTCTGTGCCGTCTGGCTTTATGAAGAAGGGCATTGCCTGAAACATCGCTCATTATATATTATTAGTCTGTGAAGGCAGTGTTGTTTACGAGTGTGTTTAGTTCGTTTTACAGAGCTGTCATCGACTATATTGCCGAAGGAAAGTCGGTTGGAGGGTTGATATTCGTTTGACTGTAATACAAAGGACGACAATTGTGAATGTGCGTGGTGCCATCGGTTTCACCGTGACAGTTAAAACAAATTTGTCAAAACTCACTGATAACATCCTATAGCACACTATGATGCTATAACGGCAAACCCAAAGCACTTGGCCACACTATTTATAGTGTGTTATAGCATTTCTTTTTGGCTGTTCACAATTTGCTGTTCAGATTCCATAGCGAAACCACAGTGGTACCACACATTGCCATGATTACCTTACATTACAGTTGGGATGGTGTTTTATTTCTTCATTTAGATCATTACAGGGACTCCTCTACTTACGAACTAGTTAGGTTCCAGAGGTCTGTTCGTAAGTCGATTTGTGCGTAAGTCCAGCTTTACTCCGGTCGATTTCAAAAACGTTGTAAGGCGTGTACACTAAACACGGGGAATGGCTTTAAAAGTTGTATAATCTCCTGTAGATGTCGATGCCACTGGTTTGTCATGTTCTGCAGATATAGATGCCTCCACTGCCATCTATTGCGCGGTGGTTGAACTTACAACTCTCAGTCGAGACGGGCAATTGGACATATGGATGGATTTATTCGATCTCTGAAAGTTCATAGGTCAAATGTTCGTAAGTAAAGGAGTCCCTGTATAGTTTGTTATAGGAAATACGTATGAGTTTTCACAACATTTTGGTACAATTCACAGTCAGACCAATGATAGAACACATTTTCGCAATCCCCTTCCTTCCTATTACTGTTGGGATGGTGTTGCTAAGTGCTTTGGTTTTTGCCATTATAGCATGCCAGTGAGTTATAGGATTTTTTTCTGGGTTTTCACAAACTCGTTTTTTGATTCGCAGTGCAACCAGTGGTACCACAAATTTTTGGAATTCCCTTCCTTCACATGACAGTTGGAATGGTGTGGCTCAGCATGTTCGTTGCGAACGTTTACACGAATATCAAACGTCCAACCAACGCCCCTTCGCTAGCATTGTTTGACATTTATTTAACTTGTTTAAATTAATGATGAATATGTACAGTAATCTTGTGGAATCTATTATGTGTACTCCAGTGTTCATCCATAATATGCAGTCTGTATTCCAAAGACCTGCTGGATTAATAAAAATAACATTCTAAATGTATGTATTGTTTGTAACTAAATGTAAAATATATATACATACAATACAATATACAAATGGGATAAACTATACATAATTGTCAATGTATTTTCTGGAAACAAGATATTGTAGAGTATGTCAAAAGATTATTTGAGCGATTAAAAAAATATATTGATTTAGAAATATGCGTTTGGAGTATTTGGCTGCTATAAATGTCCATATGATAAGCCACTTTGTTGAGTTATCATTTGTGGCCAGGTCGCTTCTGAAAAAGAGCTACATAGCTCAGTGGGCCTTATCTGGTCAAATGGAAAAATGTTTATCAATAGTTAATAGATACATGCATTCGCGCATAATTCGTAATCGAGCTATGAATTGCACAAGCCACGATGGTAATGAACATTAGTCAACAAATCACAGGCCTCTATGTTATTTATACCGACCATATAGCATTTAACAGACAGTTGGGGCGAGTGCTGTTAGCACACACCTATGAAGGCCGTCACGGCACATGAGGCATAAGTGTGGCGCCTTTGTCTTCCAAATGCCGATGTTTACGCCCTGCACAAGGTACTTATTTGAGGTTGAGTCGACCTGGGGGAGGCCCAGAACCGGTTCAGATAATCGTCACTGGTATTAGCCGTGAGCGGGAATCGAACTCGGGTCGCCGGTTTTCTAAAAGTGTGCTAACTACTACGCGACAAACACCTATGCTCCCATACGTGCGTGCACGCCAGGTAAGCTTTTGCCATCAGCACTGCAGACAATGCCACACCTTGGCATTCAGACTGACAGCTACGAACAATCAAGGCTCTTTGCTATGAATAAGCCCTCACGTCCCAGATGGCATTTCCACCCATAATCCTGATGCGTATTAGAGTTAGAGCTTGCATCACGTGACTCAACGAGAGCTGCATAAATGCTGACATTGGCACCAGCATCGCTCTTCCTCCAGGTGGTCCTGGGTAAAGCAACTGACAGGAAGACGTCTGCAGAGGCCTGCGGTCCGAATCGCCGAACATGAAGGGTATCCTCGTGCTAGCCTGCATTGCTGCAGTCATGGGTAAGTATAACATTATTGATCATTTACCCAGTCAGGCTGATGCTGTATAGCAACAACATTTAGCACCCTTTGCAAAAAAATTGAGAAATTATGCTGTCAATGAAAAGAAAATATTCATATTCACGTAATGTAACGTGTCAAAGATGTGCTAGTTATATCGGAAATTACAAATATATTGTTGATGTTTCTGTTAAACACAAATGCTATTTCACAATGCAGTAATTCATAGTTTTGTATGTTTAAGTGTTTGTTTTATTTTAAATACGGTACAGGAAATGTTTAAGGTTTAGTTTACAGAACAGTATTTTCTTTGGCCATATAAAAAAGTCCCTTCGTCCATAAAGTCACCAAATAAAAGAACAGAGCATATAAGAGCTGACAGAACCAGTCCTAAGAAAATATCAAACAGAGTCCAATGATATACCAGTAACAGATGTTCGTGCGTCATTCAATCAGTTCCTCAAATTAAATAAATGACTGCTTTGAGAAATTAAACAAAATATTTAAGTGATCAGTCTCTCATGCAGACAAAGCATTACATGGGAAGATCATCAGAGACGACTACCAGATGAGTAGTAACATCTTGACCAACAGAACCCAACGTTGGTTCTGACAAAAACACTGCTTTGGATTTCTTCCTCAAGCAAGCATCACTATTAGAGCACCCACGGCATTGCGATGAACAGCACAGCAGAGTTCCAAATCACAGCACTCGGCAATGCTCATAGATTTCCTTTTCTGACCTCGTGTTGTTAAGTGAGTTGCTTTCATCCAGCGATCTTTGTGGGGAAAACTGGGAGCCAAATAAATTTGTAGTGTAATAGCGCCGGTTGGTGGACAGCAGCGGTAACTGCGGTGGACAGACAGCACACGCGCCGGTGAGCGTGAGCACGGCTGTGTTGGCAGAGCGGAGGAACGAGGGTAAGGGTCACGGAGGACCCCATCTGGAGGCCTCTGGAACCTGCTGGTGGGTTCTAGAAGGGAGGCGCGGCCAGGGCGGAGCCATGCCGCACTGGGAGCATGAAAGGGCCTGAGAGCGTGGGCTCGAGGCTGCCGGTTCTGGAAGTGGACTCGTCTCGTCCTTGCTGTCGTTTCACCGCCGTCATCGCTAAACGTCTCCGCTAGATATTACGTTAGGAAGGACAGTAGTTGGCTATCTCAGTCAATGCCGTCAGTCTTAGATGGCTAGTGTTGTGTACAGACGAGACTGAGCTACTGTGGCGAGTGTGCGGACGAGACCGTGGAAGTTGATCATTAAGAAAGTGCCTCCTAGAAACTCTGTTTCTGAATCGTTGACACTACACATGCATGCTGCATAGAGCTGACTGAGCTTTTGAGTGATAACAATTCCAACCGTGCAATTTATACTTTGGGGGTCACTGAATAATAGTAATGATGAATAATTTTTTTGTTCAAACTGCGTGGGACTATAGTAATTTTATAAAGTAAAAATTTAATTCGTGTCAGATAAGCTCATATGACAACATTCTAGACAACGGGTGGGTATTGGTGACGCTGAGTGGCACAGCACTTTGCACAGTGTGCTGTGAATCCGGCTACCTTAGTTCAATTCCCGACCACGGCTAGCATCGGTGGTGCGTGTTATCTGAACCAATACAGAGCCCCTCGCCTTCAATCACTTGCCCTGACCCGCATGGTGAAGGATGGTCAAATGCGCCTTATGACTTGCAAAGTGTTGGGAGGCAGTGGATTGACAAAGGAGGCTGTACATGTTACTTTTGGTGCAAAATGTAAACTCGTCCAAAATGTTCACCAATTACTTCAAAATAAATTCCCGCAAGTCAGTAAGACGTGGCGAGCAATTCAAGTTCTCAACGGGGTCGTATTTGGTGACCTCAAACAGTTTGGTGGACTGTGTGGCTCCAGCCACCGTACGGCCCAGATCTGGCACTCAGATTTTATCTGCTCAGCACTTTGTCGGGCAGCTGACAAGGCAGCATTTTAAAGAAATTATATCCAGGATGCCGTTTGCAAATGGTTACCCGACGCTGATTAATCATTTCACGGTGATGGACTGCTGTCTCTGGTTCCACGTTGGAGCACGTGCATAGAAGAGAATGGCGACTGCGTTGAAAAATAGCCCAATGTAAATGGAATGTCATGCATTGCGAAAATATTGCATTAATTCAATGGAGGTTATCGAGGGGAAAACCCCCCAGAAAATTCCGAGCGCAATTGTTCTACGAAAAAAGAAAGATAATTATCTCATTCCAGGAGACAAAATGTTGAAGCACTGTACACATTGCTGGCACCTTCTATTGCCTAGACGAGTGGTTATTCTCAACCTTTGTTGACGACTCTACCCCCCCCCCCCCTTGTTTAATTTTGTTTCAACCGAGTTATCCCCACCCCCTTGCCTGACCCAACATGGTTCTGAGAAATAAATGTGAGAATAATAAACATCAATATTTGAACCAGTTGTCCATTTTGTGAGGTATCCTAACTAGCTAGCAACTGCAAGCGAATAAAAAAATAAACATTCACCGGGCGCTCTGCATGCGTGACGTAATGTGCCGCATTGTTTACGATTAATGAGTTTAGAAAGGTATTTTATACAATATGGATTTACATTTTTATCGTAATTATTGTATATTGGCAGATTCATAGATGATTATTCATCAATGTCTCTGATGCATGACATACATTTCACGCATTTATGAATCACCTCGTGCACCCCCTAAAACATTGCCCAGGGGTCCGCATTACCCACCCGGTCGAGAACCACCGCCCTAGATGCTCGGCCAGGCTCTCTGGGCCAGGCTGCCCCGGTGAGGCAGGAGGACAGGCTCGAGACTCCCAGCTTACATTGTATTCGTAGATTAACTGGCCCATCATTGAGTTCCATCGCCCAGCAACTATTTCACGACAGAAGCAAGGCGGCTGATCTGCGTCACACGCGAGGTTGCGCAACCATTTTGAATAATGCAACAACGTTACTTTCAAGAGCATTTAATCGGGCGATGTCAAAATTTACCAAATTCATTAGTGATACCATGATGTGTGTGGTGCAGCCTCCAATGTTTATGATCCACTTTCTCTCTCTCTCTTCCTTCCCACCCTTCCTCCTGTTAAGGCCACACACGGCGTTATTGTACAGAACGTGTTGAGTCTTCGTCTTTTATTGTTTGCGCGTCGTCGTAACGGCGATGAACTCGCGCTGCGCGTTCCAGGGCGTCTGGCGGCGGCGACGCTCCCCTCGACGCTCATCGTGGGCGGCTCTGAAGTGGCGCCGCACGCCATCCCGTCGCAGGCCTCGCTGCGCTACAACGGGGTGCACATCTGCGGCGCGGCCCTCATCCGGACCAACTGGGTCATCACCTCCGCGCACTGCTACAAAGCGTGCGTCGCTTCTCGTGTAACGGCTGCAAAATCGGGGTTCTGAGGGCCGTGTAGCCCTAACAGCTGTTGGGGCAAGCGCTGTTAGTTAGCGAGCACCTATGAAGGCCGGCACGGCACACGCGGGGGTGGGTGGCCAGCGCCACGCCCGGCCGGCTTTATCTCCCTCTTGACGATGTTTACTACACATCGCACCAGGTACTCATTCGAGGCTGAGTCGGCCTAGGGGAGGCCCGGGACGGGTTCAGATCATCGTCACTTGGTGTTGGTGGCCGTGAGCGGGAATTGAGGGTGCACACACACACGCAGAGAGAAACGAAAATGAATTCACTGCCAATCCTCGCCAGCGCTCCTAACCGTTGCGCAGTGTATGAGAGACAAGCGTGGCCAGGACTGCACCTGCCTCCCCCCCCCAGATATAGAACTAGAGGGGAAAGCGCAGCTCGTGAGCATCTCTTCAGACCGAACCTGCAGGCGATGCGCCACGCGTACGCACAGTCGCACAAGGAATGACGAGCGAGCGGTAATAATCGAACGTCACCATTATTGTGTCACGATTTTTACCAGGCACGTCACACGCACGGAACACCGCTGATGGGCATCGTCAGCAACTGAGCTTGAGTAGCTGAGATGAGACCCCAAGTGCAGTCATTACCACGGCGCCACCCATTATATGACGAATGCCAACATATACGAGGATGAGCTGTCAATTGTTAGGTGATAGCAGTACAGCAAATCGGCTGTGAAACCTATCTCTGTGAACCTTTCGAGTGTCGCGCCCTCGTGTGCATGGCTTGTCTTTGTGTGCTCCGGTTTCCTGCCAAATGCCAAAGACGCATGAGTGGCCTTGTGTATAAACATATCAACGAACGATCACTCTGTGCCTCAGAGAGGCCTCCCTGGGTACGCAAATAAATGTGCGAGTATTGCAGCATAGCCACGTAGTCTGTTCTCCTATAACGGGGGAGTTGCGTTATTGAAAAGTCGCATTGTAAGAAATAATATAGGGGGTAAAGCACAGTCCGTGACAACACGTGAGACACGTACGCGGGCTGAAGAAAGACTGAGGGCGCGTGGGTGGCGTCTAGAATCATCCAGCAGCATCCCACTGCCTTGTGCGATGATGCTTCGCCGAGGCAGCCGTACGGCCGCTTAGTCCGACTCGCGCGACGTAGTTTCATTCACTCAATCGCGTTATATACAATTCGCAAACGCGTTATATAAACAAAAAAACAACGTGTTGCCCGATACGTCCGTCGCGTTATATCCAATTGGAGTCGTGAAAACAACACGCAGGAGAGCAGACTGCACTCTTGGTGGTGCTGACACGTGGTGAAGCCATTGCACGCGTTGCGTATACGACGAATCGACTCGCGCGCGAATTCCCAGCGCACAGAATCTGAAGGTCGTCTTGGGAGACCACTCGATGTCCAAGGCGGACGGCACGGAGAAGACCTTCTCGGTGTCGCGCGTTGTCCGCCACGAGAAGTTCAACAACGTCACCAACGACAACGACGTCATGCTCGTGAAGGTAACGTGCACGGTGGCGAGCGGCGTGGGCAGCCTCGCTCCCCGTCGCGTGTGTCTCTGCGCAGCGGGGATTAAGAGAGAACGAGCTCGTGGTTAGCGCTGAGTTGTAACGCATCAGTTCAGCCCCGGTCGATCCACTGCTTTGGAGCGTTCGCGAGACGAGTGGGAAACTCTCCGCGGGAAATGCTTCGTTTTCCAAAAATGCACCAATTATGGATTATAACATAAACTTCTGTGCATTTGTGTTTGACTGTGTAAGTTGTATTTCGATTTAAAGCTTTCGTGACTGCAGGGATTCATATTCTTGGTTCTTTCGGTAGGTAAAGTCACGTAGAAGGGAAATAATAAAATAGGACAAAATTAAAACATTAAGTATTTTAATAATAAAAATGAAATTGTAATTATTATTTTAATAATAAAAATACACTTTTAATTATTATTTTATTTCCCTTCTACGTGACTTTACCGAAAGAACCAAGAATAAGTTGTATGCATGTTTGTTGGACTTCTTTCGCACCGTACGTAGCCAACCTTGTTGATCGGAGGTGCGGGAAAAGGACAACAAACTAAACACAATAACAGCATAATAAAGGTGTTTGGGTTAGATCACGTCAGTATAAATGTGTCGTAACCCTCCACCACCCGACACAAATTCGAGTACTCAAATGCATCAGTTCTCAAATTGTAAATGTTGCGGATTTTCTCTCCAACACGCTGGTGGGCTGAAGTAGTAAACTAATTGGCGTTTTGTTTACGTGACAAATCCCTTACTAATTGGCTGTGTCGGGTGGTGGCGGGTTTAACGACACATTTATACTGACACGATCTCACCCAAAAACTTTTATTATGAATAATATTGATCGCGAAAGCTACTACGTGTTAAACTGACAATAACAAGCAGTTTGACAGAAATTTTTTTGAAATCTACGTTTGATTTTTGAACTTCATTTTCCATTCAATCCCCAACTGTTGCCATTGACCACTGCAAACATCGCTTATACGCAACGTTGGCCTTTCTTCGTAATCAATGCATCATGCATCTCGGAGTGATTACGAGCAGTCTTCCCTCTGTGCGCAAACCGCCGAGGGAAAGCAACCATCATCCAGCGTAGACCCGGGCCACCCTTGCAAGTTCTACGCCTGCTGAAACGCAAAAACACACTTGCGCTCAAAGCTAGCCAGCCGAATGAGCGTACCACGCACACGAAACTTCCAAATGCGCCACGCGCTGCTGTGCTCGTCACGCCGCCGCTGGACGTAGTCGCATCACCACCCATCTCGCCCTTTGGCCCCCGCAGCTCTCGACCAACGTCGCCCTCAACGCGAACGTCCAATTGGTGGCCCTGCAGACGAGCGCCCTACCGCCTGGAACGCTGTGCAACGTGTCGGGCTGGGGCACCCTCCAGGAGAGCAGCAACAAGGTGCGACTGACTCGCGGTCTGGGTGCGCGGAAACTCACTCAACGCGCCAATGACGAGGCGAACCCCCATCGGTGTCCGCGCGCTGATGTGGGCGGCGCTATTGGTCAGAGCGATTAGCCAGGCCTATCCATGAAAACAACTCCTCGCATCCGTGGATAAATCAGTCGTGGATGAATTGGAGATTATTGTTATGTTTGTTATTTGTTCGTATGAGGCTTGTTCACCCAGGAAAGCCGCACTCATTCCCATGACACTCTTTGAGGAAGGCCCTGTCGAGTTTTCGCAATCAGGGGCCGATGATTGCTTTGTAGATTCCGGTTGAGTATGTTGTGGGTGATATTTCTAATTTGTCAAGCGTGGACCATATTACGGGATACGTTCTCAATAGAACTCGGCTTGTCCGTGGGAATAAGAGAACTTTCACTCTTTAGCTGAACTGCATGCACATAAATTGTCAGCTCTAGTTTCCCTGTGAATATCATTTTACCCTAATCATACTTGATTTATTGTTTCAATAATCAAAAATGTTCCGTTCCCATGTGGCATTTTGTAACTCTTAAGAGCGAGATTTTAGATAATCCAGGTAGCTCTTACATGGATTTTATTTGCTCTTTGAACTATGCATTTGAATGTTGCTGTGCACACTTGGAAACAGCGATGGTCATGGCGACCCGAATGGGGACGGAAACCCCAAAGACTTCTACTTAGCCCTAGAGTCAGGGCTCAGCAGATGTGAGGTCATTAAGGGCTCATTTTGAAGCGAACACAAAAACCACCGCAGTCTATAATCACGTTAAGAAGGAACCAACACTGAATACAATCCACTGATGGCAACACTAAAAAACTATTTTTAGTTTATTTTACCAGGTAAGGCCCACTTGAGCTATGTAGCTCTTTTTCAGAAGCGACATAGCCACAAATGATAACTCGAGTGGCTTATAACGTGGAAATGTATAGCAGCCATATATTCTAAACGCGTGTTTCTAAATATAGAGGGAGAACCCGGAGGACCCGAAAATAAATCCACACGACCACAGGTAGAGAGACATGCAAACCTTCAAATATACAGGAATCAGGGTCGGGATCGAACCCACGACCTCCTGCATACCAGGCGAGGTAATTACCATCTCGCCACTGACGTCAACACAAACGTGAGGACATCAAACTCAGCGGAGGGCTGTGTTAAGTGTGGAACTTCGGCGAGTAGAGTGAACCGCAGTCGCGCCGCCAAAGAAAGTTGGTGCCAGCTTTGGGTATCCGGGCGTCATCCGTCAAATGGCGCTGGTGGTGGTGATACACGGCCTGTTGGTGAGCCAGAGTGCGCGGATCTTCACTTTAATTGCCGCGGTGTCTGGGCCAACAATCTTTCAGCGCATCAGGATAACTTGGCCGGCAATGGAGATCGTATTAATCTCCTCCAAAGTAAACGTCCAACTGAGAATATAGTTTCATATTTGCGAAAAGGATATTTCCGATGCGTAATTGGATTTTCCATGTGCATTTGAGTGGGGTGAAAGCAGTGATTGAGTGATTCCTGCGCCGTGCTATCATCCCGGAATGCTGTGCTCAATCCCAGCCGCGACGAGCACCAGTGACGTGAGACGTCCAATCTGGTCTTCCTCTATAACACAGGGTTTTTTGGGGGTTAGATCGCATAAATATAAATGCGTCGCTAAACCCGACACCACCCGACACAGCCAATTAGTAAGGGTTGTCACGTAAACAGACCGTGCCAATTCGTTACTAGTACAGCACACCGGTGAGTTGGAGAGAAAATCAACAACATTTGCAATCTCAGGACCGTGACGTTTCGCCAGTAATTACAACTAGCTTCATCAGGCGACAGCCATGAATGGAGCCCAGTATGTAGTGTGTGCGTGTGTGTACGCAAATATCTGAGTGCGTTCGTGCGTGCTCGGTTTGTTTGTTTCTTCTGCAGGGTTCGGACGTTCTCAGAGCCGTCACTGTGCCCATTGTGAGCAATGCGCTCTGCAACAGCACGCTGTACTACCGCGGATTGATCACAGTCAACATGCTGTGCGCTGGCTTTGACCAAGGGGGGAAGGATGCCTGCCAGGTGAGTCGTTGACCAGGAGACTTACTAAAGAAGGAATCAAGAGGAGAGGGGGGAGTTAAAAGAATATGATAATTTTACAAAATTCCAAGGCCCTTTTATGAAATCCTGAGCAGTTTAATGTACGTGTGTATGTATGTTGACATTTATTTGCACGGTACGTAGCCAACCGTGCTAATTGGAGAGATGGAAGAGACAGGGCGTTCAGGTTACGCTGCACACAGACACGGGCCAGTCACTGCAGGCTCGGCTAAGTCTGTGATGTCGTGGACCAGAGGTGGTCCGCTCCTGACTCCACATTACGCCGTGATGCCCCTTGCTCGGATGATGTTCAGACGAGACATTCTTCGCGAATAAACTGACAAAGTCAAGTGAAACAATGGGAAATTATCTAAATCACTCCGCAGACTGATCGATTCCTGTGTGTGTGTAAGGAGCGGTGGTGTAGCGGTTAGCGCACTGCGCTACGAACCCGACGGCACGAGTTCGATTCTTGCTCACGGCCATCACCAGTGACGATTACCTGAACCGGTCCTGGGTCTCCCCTAGGTTGACTCAGTCTCAAAGCAATTCCTGGTGTGGTGTGTAAACATCGTTACTGAGGGAACAAAGGCGGCCTTCATAGGTGCTCGCTAACAGCACTTGCCCCAACAGTCTGCGAAGGCTATATTGGGGGGGTCTTTGTCTTTGTGTGTACGTGTGTGCGCGTGTGCAGGGTGACTCTGGCGGCCCCCTCATATGCAGCAATAAGCTCAAGGGATTGGTGTCGTGGGGCCTTGGATGCGCCCGACCCCGCTACTTTGGAATCTACACGGATGTTTCTCGCTTCATTTCCTGGATTAACAAGATACTTGCCACCTACTGAGTCGACGCATGGCCACAATCGCATGAAGGCATGAGATGAATCATCTTAGTGGCAGCCAAATGAGTTATGTAAATGGATTGACTGACAGACAGAGCAATTCTTTAATCAGACTTCCAACCCCTGCCAAACCGAAGTTGTGTTTGACACGTAGGTTTTTGGAGCCAATGTCATGATTCACGATGGTGTCACTTGTTATTCAGAACCACTTCGTCACCCGACAAAGCCGAAGACATGTATTTTCACGAGTACAATTACAAGCGTTTAACAATGGGCCAGTTATAGTTTCAGCTCCCCAGATGTGATTATGTGCGACATTTCGTTTGAGACTACGTCAGACATCGGGACACGATTCGGGAAGGCAGAAATGAACCGCGTCACCAGACCCGGCTTCTTAAATAAATTTATTAAATTTTTATAATGATATTAAATTAAGGAAATGACGATCACGACTTTGACACCTGGACATTTGGAGTTTGCATGTTCTCGCTTTGGTCGCGTGGATATTTCTCCGTGTCCTCTGGTTTTTTTTCTCCGCATTTACAAGCATGCTTTTAGAGTGTTTTGCTGCTATAAATGTCCACGTAATAAGCCACTTTGTTGAGCTATCATTTGTGGCCAGGTCACTTCTGAAAAAAAAGCTGTACAGCTCTGTGGGCCTTACCCGGTAAAATAACAAATAGTGTCAGTTTACGTGGTATGGTGATTCTAACTTCCTAGATCTTGCCTGATGATGGTTGACGCAGTTTCAAATGAAATGTCGCCTACCTAATTGCTGCTAAGTTTTGTTTGCGAGATTTGTTCTTTAACTCACCGGTGACCTGTGAAATAATAATCATTCGCGCGTCGTTGAACACTTTGTACGTGCGGCAATTAGTGTGATTGGCTTGGTCAGGCGGCGGAGGGACTTCACGACAAATGTTGTCAGGTGACGACTCCGAGGCCTAACCCAAACATTGAGCGACTGACGCAAGTCTCGCTGTGCTCGCAACGCAGCCGACGTGGCCCGAATTCATCTCACAGGCATGCCATCACCTCATTCCTTCACATGCCTCATATTCTTGGCTGCCATTCCATCCCGAGTTGTGTCCATCGATGTCCCTCTTAACAACGTGATGCGCTGAAGTCCTTTTTTGCGTGTTTTTTTATCATAGCAATTATTAAGTTTTTGGATTCTTGGGTGTTTTTTTTGTAATCAAAGTGTCACGTGTATCTTTCTTGCAGTGGATTTACTGAATGTATTTTATACTGTAGTTGGACCTTGGAGCTTATTTATAATCTGCGTGGTTTTCACTTGTTTATATCACTTTTTTTGTGGTTATGAGCCGGCAACGTTCACGATGAATGACTGCGTTGACCAGACCTTGTCACTGATAGTAAAATGGAAAGTCTCCACATCGACTCGAGTCGTGCTCGGACCCCACCCCTTTGCTGTGTTTTTTTTTGTGCGGCTGTCATCCTTGTCTTTGTATGCAGTAGGTCATGGGTTCGATCCCCGACCCTGGCGCCTATATATTTGGAGTTTGCGTGTCACTCTCCCCGTGGTGGCGTGGATTTTTCTCCGGGTCCTCCGGGTTTTCCCTCCACGTTCAGAAACGTGCGTTTAGAGTATTTGGCTGCTATGAATTTCCCCACGATAAGCCACTTCGTTGAAATATTTGTGACCAGGTCGCTTCTGAAAAAGAGCTATATAGCCCAGTGGGCCCTAACTAGTGAAATCAAAAAGAGTTTTTGGTTTTAGTTTACAGGTGTTTTTTACTCTGGCCCTGTTCTCACAAGCAGCGGCAAGCGGCACTCTCTGATGGCTTGCTACACAGCTCGGTACATTCATATTATCCGTGATCATTTAGAAATTTCCCCTCGTGCAGTTGGCTGGCGGTGTTGATACCACTCGGATTCCATAACGGCAGCTGTCAACGGATTGCTGATCAACCGTGGCGAATGCGGATCGAGAGGAGAGGCTTGAGGGGAAAAAGCACACGGAAGTAAAAAAAGTTTACACAGCAACCGCGGTCTCTTTAGCCGACGTTGAGTGCGGTAGGTTCTGGTTTTCGTCTCTTTAGCCGAGTGCGGGCAGGTTGTGGTTTTCTCGAGTTGATGATGACAGTGATTTTCATCATCCGCACCTCCGAGTGATTAACTTTAGCAAGAAAACGAGTAATCGCGTAATTTGTGTGCTTGTTATACAGCAAACCAGCAGCAGCCGTTATCATGGTTGGTCCAACCGCATCACGTGATCTGCATGTACCTTGCTGATCTCGTCAAGGAACGATGAACCATCACGAGAAATTCGGTCATCCTCGCAGCTGCTTTTGGCCGAGCCATCAAACAAAGACGGTCACCGCATCACGCGCTTTCGAACGCGCTTCTGCGGACGTCTGGAACACTCTTGCTTCCGATATTAGGAAGCCACTGGAGCCCGTGCACTTTTAAATCGAGGTTGAAAACTAATTTATTTCAAACTTTTTGCGTGTGTTTAGTTTATTGTCCTTTCCCCGCAACTCTGATGAGCACAGTTGGCTACGTACGGTGCGAAAGAAGTTCAACATACATACATCGGGTTCTCGTTTGCCACTCATTACCATCGAATCAGATAAAACAATAGCAGCCTCCAATTTCCACCGTTTAATTCCGATCGCAGCGCGGAAGAATTTTGCACAAAGTAGGACACGTTATTTGCATGCGGAAAACCCATCCCTCCGAGGTCATCGGAAACACGCACAGATCCACACCACCAGTCTGCCTCCCTCTACACCAACATGCATCACGGTGGACGGTGTTACTCGCAACACCCCGAAGCTGTCGCGTAACCAAGTTATTTGGTGACGATGATGCTGCGTTCGCAGTGGTGCACAAAGCACAAATAACAACAACAATCAACGAGTTCGTCCGCCTTTAAAGGTTAACGGTATATAATGGCCAACGTGTCGGGCAATGACCCTTCAACGGAACATTAAGAGAGGCCGGAGAGGGATGTGTGGCATAATGACGTAGGCAATGTTGTAAAAGGGAGTTATCGAACGCGCGCGTGCTGACACCTTCAATGAAACAACACGACACGCGCTCCGATTAATCACCGCCATCTGAGAGCGTCGATAGGCACGGCTCCAATGGTTTGCAGGGTGCTGTTGATGATTCATCTCGAAGGATTCCTTGATGTGGGAGTTTTTTTTTGGGGGGGGGGCGGTGAGGAATGGTAACAATCGGAATAAAAAAAACGAAGCTTCAGCACGGCTTCATTTTATTAAAGGGACAACGTTGTGGTCGTCATCACAGCCGTTGTGCGGAGTTGTACTCGGTGGGCTCCGGGCGCGCGTGCATCGCGACGTTGGTGCCTACACGCCACGTTGCCTGCTGCACACGTTGCATCCACGCCTCGCCAGACCTCCCGCTCCTCCGATGAGCTCCTGCGCGTTGTGCGAGGCGTTCAACGTACGCACGTACGCGACGGTTTCGCCGTGCAGTTGGCCATGCGCCGCTCGGCGTGGATGTTTTGCTGCGCCTCTGACTTGTCGGGGTGAGGTTGTGAGCCCAGGCCGGCACGCTTCATCGACAGAACGTTCGCCGCTTGCAACTTGCGATGAATGGGGTTCCCTGGGTCTCTTGATCTCTGGATGTGTTTGGGATTGTACCGCGCGTATTGTTCAGCACGATGCCAGACGTTTTGCTCCGTGTGCTGCGAGCTTCTTCGGGAACTGAGTTCGTGAAAAATATATTCTGAATTCGGTTCCTGAAAAGGCCTCCCCCCCCCCAATATGTGGTGCGAAACGTCGTACATCGCAGAGAGCGACACAGCGCGGTAGCGTAGTAGAAATATTTTATTTTATTTCTAACTACGTGACTTTACCGAAAGAACCAAAGCGTATTGATTCCTGCAGTCACGAAAAGCTTCGAATCGAGATTGGAACCACCTGTACGGTAGTTAAACCTTCCCTTGTAACATCGGCGAGGAATGCAACCTCTGGGACGACAGGAGCAAGGGAATGAGAGCTCCCTCCCTTTTTTTGCAAACAGCAGCAGCAAGGATGGTCATAGGTCTAGCCCTTTCCAAGCATCATTCCCATAAGCATCTTCGTCACCAATGAGTAGGAGGATGAGCACTTACAAGTCGACATCTCTGTGCGTCTGCATTAACCGTAATGAGGTTTTTTTTTTTAAATAACAATGCTGGAAGTTGTCCTCTTTGTGAGTCGATGCAAACATTTTTACCGCCAACGCGTCCACGTGAAGCGGCTTGATCGCCCCAAGGAGTTCGTAGGTGAGCACACGGGCAATGATGGAGCGTGATAGTCGTGGAGGGAGTTGGCCTTGAAAGGTACAAAAACTCGTGAACGCTGCCATCTCCTGGCAACCTCAGAGCCCAGGGCACCCCCAACGCCTGCTGTTACCAAGACCTTCTCCCCATCCCCGTACTAATCAGGGTGAACCTCGCTGTGCGTCCCAGATCTGATGAGGCGAAGCACATTCAAGGTGATTGGGCTCAAGGCTAAATCGCTCAAGGGCGACGTTTAAGTAGCCGTGACCAACAGTGCCGGATTATCCTTGTGGCAAAAGTAGCTACATATGCTACGGGCCCCGCACTTTTAGGGGCCGTCCATAAATGACGTCACGCACCTGGGGGGGGGGTTCAGACATTTGTGACGATGTGTGACGAGGGTGGGGGGGGGTTTGAGAAATGTGACGTCACATCAAAATACGCAACTTTAAATATAAACAACACGTTCTACTTAATTAAATAAAATTGTTATAACGACACTAATTTTGATTAATTTTCATTATTAACTATTTGATTATTTAAATCTACTAAGGCCACCTTTGATTTATTCCATGAAAAAGCATAAATTTAGTTATTCAACATTTTGATTTTAATGATTCTACCAGGGCTTTTCATTCCGTGGAATGACTATGTGATTGTTATAATTGTACTCTACATTTTGCTTCATTCTACTACAAAGTTTCAAGTATTTTTTTATAGTTATAATTACTTTTAATATAGGATAATTATAAGAGAACTTCAATATAATATTCTGAACATCTGCAGTTTTAGTTAGACGATGAATATTTTCAAGTGAATTTTATGCTAAATTTCAGCTTTCCAACGCCTTTTCAATATATGTTTTCGCCTACAACATCAGAGTGCAGGGCCACTTTAAATACGCACTACAATGACGATAGTTTAAAGCGATTTGAAGCATGTTTGATTTTCAAAATGGAAATATGTTTTTTTTTTGGGGGGGGGCAGAGCTTTGTGACGTCATATTTGACTTTTTGTGACGCCGTGGGACGAGGGGGGGGGGTCCAATATCGCGTGACGTCATTTATGGACGGCCCCTTAAGGGCCCCGCGGTAAATGCTTTCAAGCTGTCAATTACGGTTCAGTGATTCTTCACTTGCTCTATTACTATAGTACTATACTGCCTTCGACTTTTATGAACAACTGGGTGTTTAAGGTTAGCGATTTGTCGTATTATCTGGCTGTATAGCAAATGAAAAAAAAACAATGACTTTACTATGCAAGTAAAAAGAGAGTTATTTATTTACTTATTTAGGGCTCCTTTAGAACATAGACTACAGGCCCCACCACACTATCTTAATCCGGCACTGGTGACCAGCAGTCTGCATGACAGTTGAATTCCAGGTCGGGAAATCTCTCATTGTCTAAAACACGATGAGCAGGCTGACTCCTTCGGGTGTAAATGGCGCAAATATTTCACATAGTGGAACATTTAAGTGAATCGATTTTGGATTGTTTTTTTATCAATCAAGGGTCATTACCCGAACGTTGGCCTATTATATTTGTGTTTCCTTTTGAGGCGACACAAGTGCTGTTATTGACGTCCAGGAGCTAAGTGGCGATGTCGAGGTCTGCTGGCCACGGCAGGGCTTGGGTGACGAATTCGTGTGGCTTTGCTGTGCCTCCGTTGAAGGAACCCAGGCTACACAGTGGCGCACGATACGGCCCATAGTTTGGGTTGCGTGGCCAATATAATGAACGATTGAACTCAACGGCAGTAGCGGTGTGCAGAAGATTTTCTACGATCAGATTCTGAGTTCCAATCCTGTCGAAGGATAACTCATCCAAATCATCACTTGAGGGCCAGTAAATTAAGTACTACCTTGGCGAACACAGCCCATCTCAGTTAGTCCACTGGTCTAAATGAGCATGACTGTTGATGAGTTGCTTGTTTGTGTTGTGTGTGTGGAGGGGTGGCGCAGTGGTTAGCGCGCTGTGCTACGAACCCTGCGGCCCAAGTTCGATTCCTGCTCACGGCCACCAACACCACTTACGATTATCTGGACCGGTCCTGGGCCTCCCCTAGGTCGACTCAGCCTTAAATGCGCACCTGGTGCAGTGTGTAAACATTGCTACTAGGGAGACAAAGGCGGCCGAGTGTAGTCTTGTCCACCCACAACCGCAGTGACAAGATGTTAACTACCTCGTCAGATCGTGGGTTAGATCCCGACCCAGACACCTGCTGTATATTTGAAGTTTGCGCGTTTTCCCCGTTGTTGTGGATTTCTCTCCGGGTCCTCCAGTTTTTGCCTCCACATTTAGAATCAACCTCACGGGTTTAGAGTGTGCGGCTGCTATACACTTCCACATGATAAGCCACTTCGTTGAGCTACCATTTGTGGCCAGGTTGTTTCTGAAAAAAAGAGCTACGGGGCTCAGCGTAAAATAAAAAATTGTTTAGAGTTTATACACATTGTTTTTTTCGGTAAAGTCACGTATGTGGAAATAAAATAAAATTTAAATAAATTAAATAAAATTATATTAAAATAAATCACGACATATTTTCCTCCGTGCAGTTTGGCGTCCTCTATGTGCTATGTGTGTGGTGTCCCTCTGTGTGTTCCCTTGCTATGTGTTTTACCCCATTTCCATCTGATGATGAGCGCTTGTGTTCCGTTCGAAACGTCGTGATTTATTTTAATCTTATTTTATTTATTAAAATTGTATTTATTTCCACATACGTGACTTTACCGAAAAAAACAACGATTGTCGTAATTTCTGCAGTCACGAAAGCTTCAATTCTAGATGAGTTTACAGTTTAGTTTACCTTCTGTGCTGTGCCGGCCTTCAAATGTGCTCACTTTGCCCAAAAGTCTGCTCAGGCTGCTATACAGAGGCTCTTTGTCTTTGCATGTGTGGCAAGGTTTATGTCACTGTATCGATACTGAGCACAAGTTTTTGGGTGCACTTTCCGGAGCGTCTTGTAATCTGGAGATAAGCTACCTGCAAACTCCTAACACCCATTAAGCAGAGATACCTTGGACTTTTGATTTGAATGAGTATTGTTTTCATACCAGAGACATGGATATGAAGTGTTTCAGACTGTTGAGTTTTCAAAGTACTCATAGTTAACGTTCCAGCTGGGGAATGCACCTTGCTAAACGCACCTCCGATTAGCACAGTTGGCTACGTACGGTGCGAAAGAAGTTCAGCATACATCCCGAAGCCATCATCAGAGTTGGGCATTCATTGTTTGAGCGGCATTCTTGAGGCGTGGTTGCGTTTGCTGCCGTACTCCAACACCACCCTCCCCCAGGCCCCCATGTGCACCCATCCAGGCCACGCTCCTTCGGGGCGATGCGTCTACCAAGCCCCGTCACGTGGCTTAACAGGGCCCGTTCCAACATCGCCACGGTGACATTGCCGTCTTCCCAGTGAGACTTGTCAGCTTGTAACCATTGTTTGAACTTTCGAGGCCCAATTTCACTGTCACGTCGGTGTGACCCTGAATCATTGTTGGATAGTTGCCACACTTAGTACGTGCACGTGAGCAATACACATTCATTTCGGTGGGAATGTATAGGATCGTAGCGGGTGGTATTTTGGCAGCGTTACATTTTAGAAAAATGTCCTTTTTCTAATTTTGACGGTTGTCGCAGATGTTGCACGTGCTGACTCAACGTGAGACACGAGGGGAGTGTTGCGTCATCGCGAAGCAAAGGTCGCACGAGGCAAGCGGCTGGGTGAACGCAAAACGAAGGAAACGATCAGGGCACAGAAATCCACAAATTAATACACAGGACGAGGAGGTTTTACTGAGCAAGCACTTTTCATGATGGCAGCAGCAGCAGCAGCAACACAAAGACAGGAAATAAGTAAATGCGTGACATGGGTTGACCAAAAGCATCCCAAGACACACACCCGACGCGACTGACACAATCACTCGGGCAGAAACTGTGCGCCTGGGGATGTCGTAAAGATGCAAAACCTTTCCTTGCCATCGGTAGCAAGACGCACACCACTGCGACGAGAACACATTTATTAAACATCATGACAAGCCATTGCTATAGAGCAACAAGTAGTTGTTGTTGTTGTTGTTGTTTTTTTTATAAATACAATGCACGTTTGAATTGCTTCACGATGCCATCGACGTATTCGTCACCGTCCCCGCGTGCAAGGCTGTTGATGGCAGTCGGGACATCGTCGGCCTCCTGCCGCATCAAACCCTCGCGTCCACCCCTGGGGTGTCTCTCTGAGGCCGGAGCGCGACGTGTCACCGCCTGGCAGTGGCAATCTCCCCCCCCCCGTCTCCTCTAGGCCTGCCGATCAACCGATAACATCGCCTCCATAGATACACAGCATGAAGCAAATAACACATTCAGCTATGAGTACATTTAGCCATTTAGGTATGGGTTATGGGCTCATTTTAACACAAACCAAAAAAACCTCGAAATTATCTCACCACAACCATGCATCATGAAGGGGGGAAACACATTCGCCTCCGTTGTAATCATTCCGATTGGAGGGAAGCTCACGGCTGCCTATCTCTTCTGGGGGGGGAGGGGGGCGACTCGAGGAAAGGGATCATGACCGATACACAACGCTCACTCAGAGGGCCTCCCTTCCTCCCTCTCTCCCTCTCTCGAAACTCTTACAGAACTGCAACGCCGGAGCCGCCGCCGCCAATCACCCAAGGTGTCGACTGTTCCAAATCTAATTGGAGTGTGCGCAGCTAAGCAACACCTCCCCCCCCCGTGAACAGATTATACCGCAGGAAACTCAACGTCTGGACGCGCACGACCACCGGGGCGCGACGAGAAGAAGCCGCGGAAACGGTTCGGGCTCTCGGCCGTCGTGCGATTACATTTGGCACGCCAGTGCCCGTGCGCGCAGGGTCATTCGCAGCGACATCGGCTGGCTGCGACACGGCTACCGGTCGTCGTGAATTGGAAGCCGCACGCCCCAGGGGACGATGCCCCCCCCACCCCCCACCTGCTGCGGTGCGCGCTCCAAGCAAGGTGGCCCATGTCCACGAGCGGTGAATTTTTGTTGGGAGGGAAAATAATGTGCTCAGGAAGCGATGACCTGTCCTTATAATCGAGAGTGAGCCCTCCAGTTGAGGCTCATATCGTATCGCCTTAGGGATCTCAATATCTTTAAAACAGTGGCCACGTTGCGGGCAGGTACCATTGTTCGTCATTAAGTTGATGATAATTATGCACGATTTGGAGGTGGGACACTGGCTGTTTAGCATTCACTTCATAACAAACGGTGCGCTTTGGTCAATCCCGTCGCATTTACATGCAAACCAGCTCAGTGGCCCCGTTGTGGCTAACCACCAGCCCCTGAAGCCGTGTCACAATGCTCAGAAAGAGACGGTCAAGGGCGAATCCAACACTGGACAATAATACACACACACACACGTCTCACATCACATGCCATATTTCATTACAGTTACATACACGTAGGCTTTCGCCACCAATATCATCTGTAATAGTTTTTTTGGGTTAGATCGCGTAAATATATAAATGTGTCGTTAAACCCGCCACCACCCGACAGCCAAACAGGAGGATCGCTCAACGAATCTGGCTGTCCGCCTGATGAAGCTAGTTGTAATTTACTGGCGAAACGTCAAACTCAGATTGTAAATGTTGTGGATTTGCTCTCCAACACACCGGTGTGCTGTTCTAGCGACGAATTGACACGTTCTGTTTACGTGATAAACCTTACTACGCGACCTAATCCAAAAACCCCCTATGTTATGGACAGTTACATACGTCACAGAGAAAACTGCATCTGAAGGGGGGAGGAGGGGGAGGAGGGGGAGCAATGTCGCACTCCCCCGGAGAAAATGAGCAGCAGCAGTCTTGGAAAAGAATCACTCGATCGCTCTCCCTGACATTACTTCACAATCGCAACCTCTTTAGTCCTCTGCTCTATGGCAGGCCTCTGCGTAATGCATCGTTGTTATTATCATCACTGCTACTACGACAATAACAACGAATTGAGACCTAACGAGGGCATTCGAAATGCTTTGCCCGATCCGAGGTGCAAATGTACGCGCCACGGAAGGCGCGTCAGCTTCAGAGATGTGGACCGCATCTTTCGGAACGCGGCGCGCGTGTCAAGAGGGAGGGAGAGAAACACAATTTCGACGATGCGCAACGAGGCGGCAAGCCGGCAATGAATGGGCGGCGGCGATGCAGGCGGCTTCCTCTCGCGTTCGTTTTTTTTTACTTTGTGACCGGCATCGTGATCGCGTGGACGATGCGGCGGACGGTCGCACGCGGCGGTTCGAGGCAGACAACGCTCCGCGGCCATGAGGTGGCAGGGCAGGCGAGGGGCAGCGAATGGGAGGCAGATTTGAGGGGGGCAGCGCAGCTCTCCACAAATACCGAACCACCACCACCCCCCTAATATCTGCAGGGTATTGCAGAATGACTATTCGGCATTGCAGTAACTGGCGTCCACAAATTGAACGAAGGATGAAATGCAGTCATTTGTTGTGAGCGTGTTTGTTTATCGCGTGAGCAAATGGCATGATTTTTTTCGTGTTATTCTTTATACAGTACTACAAGAGACATAAATATGGTTCTTAAAATAAACCACACAACGGTACATCTCTCTCTATATATTGTTTGCTGCGAACCTCTGCATTTCTACGTAACGAGTAACTTCTCTTTCCCCGCTTCTGCACATAAAGCACAGCTGAATAAAGTGTTGTCCTGCAGTGGTAAAACATGAGTGATTACACAGACACCATTTGTATCACGATGGAGTGTTTTTTTTTTTCTCTGAGCTACAAATTTCTCACAGACGTACATGCCCCCCCCCCCCCCCCCTAACAGCCAACAGGGTTTCAAGCGATATGCAATATAATATCTGATAGTCAAACACATACTTTCGATACGAACAGCACTGTAGGCGAAACGAAACTTTGCAGTCAACCGTTAACAAAAAAGCACACACGTTCGTTTGACCTTTATTCAAAACAGCAGTGATGGACATGGCATGCACATCAACGTCTTGGCCAGATTGTTGTAGTCTGAGCGGTGTTCAGCCATCCGGGACAAACCAGCAAAACGGTGGGAAATACGGCCAACTTGAATCTGTTTTCCACCAAGGGACTAGTGTCACCTCGATTACATGCTCACAGTATATTGCTCTTTAGAACTCATCTAGACGTCAGAAACACATTGCAATTTAATTTTAAAATCAATTAACTCACAATTTTGAAACCACGGGCAGCGTGCACAGCTCAGCGTGTTCATCCCAGAGCCCTTCGCGACGTCGCCGCGTGCACCGTGGCACAAGGAGAGAACACCCCACGGCACAGACAACACAACAGCTACTTACGTTGCACGTTACAATATGGACACCGAGTCTGTTTGCAGTATACCGTATCCAGGTGAGACCAATTGCACAATTGTGTCGTTTTCAGGGGTATGTGGAGGGTCACATCTGCACGTCTGCTGACGGTCTGCTCTTCGCCGATCAGCGAATATTACTTTAGACAGAATTGTTGTTTCCGACTTACGTATTTGGAAAAGCGTGCGGAGGATTTTTTTTTTAATCTTCAAAACGGTTCAAAATTTGCCCGCTCAAGGGCTATGACGGCGAGCGACGTAGAGGAGGAGCCTGCGTGAGTGCCTCTGCGTGGACGTTCTCGAACGTAGCAGCGGCAGCAACAGCCGCAGTGCGCGCTGCCCCAGACGACGGATGCCTTAAAGCCCCTTCCAGCGCCAATGCCACACACAGTCCACGCGGCCTCTCTCGTCGCTCAAATTCTCAAATAGGTGTGTCCCCCCCCCCACCTCCCCCCCCAAAAAAAACCCCACAATCTGGGCAAGAATTTACTGAAGACTCTCTCTTTTTTTCTTGTTTTGTTTGCGTACATATCACAACCGAGAGGTGGGAATTACTGCCGTCTTGAATAAAAGCATGCATCAGGGAATGTAGTTTGATCCCGAAAAAAAGAAGAAGAAAAAAAACCGTACCGTGTTTGCAGTAAATTAACATCCGGGAGAATATGATGCCCAAGGAATCAAATCGCGATTACCAGTCGAAAATAATCACTCGGCCATTCGATTTTCAGGAGCGGTGGCTATATATATTAATTGTGAAAAAAAATGTCTAACCGTGTCAATATACATTACTTGTGTTTGTCCTCTACATGATGAATATCATAGTTTTTTTTTATTGATTCCAAACCTTTAAAATACACAAAGAGTTACGTTTGCAGGCAGCCAGTTAAAGTCTAAGAGTAAACACATTCTCTCGGGCAGCCAGCACTGTGAGTGGGACAGGATCACAAAAGGTCATAAATAATTTCTAAATGCAGTGCGTCTATTCATAAAGTATACGCCTTTACTGCCAGATCGACTTTGCACATCCTTGCTGGTTTGCAGAGGTATGAACAGTGATCACTTCCTAACATTAGAGAGGTTTTTTTTTCTTTTCTGGGAGCTTATTGTGTTTCAACACTACAATACTGCTTTGGGTACATTACAGAGAGGGGGGCGCTGGGAACCGGGAGGTGGGTTAGGGGTCATCACATTCACAAGCCCAAGAAGAGAAAGCTGGGGAGGTACCGGGTGGAGAGCGGAAGGGGGACAGGGGGCGAGGAAGGGGAGGGAACAAGGTGGTTATTTTATGGAAGAGATCTCATTTAGCTTGCGCTGCTTTTATCAGTTGGGCTCTGACCATCACAGACAGAAATAAACTGTGGGAAGTGGGGGGGGGAGAGAAAAGAGGGCAGAAAAAACAACACGTTAGAATTTGTTTGCAATGCAATACATAGATCAACACATTTCAAGTTAGTTTAACACGTAGGCTTTCGCGACCAATATCATCCATAATAGAGGTGTTTGGGTTAGATCGCGTAAATATATAAATGTGTCGTTAAAACCCGTCTCCACCCGACACAGCCAACTAGTAAGGGTTGTCACGTAAACAGAACATGGCAATTCGTCACTAGTACAGCACACCCGTTGTGTGTTGGAAAGCCAAGCCACAACATTACGACGTTTCGCCAGTAATTACAACTAGCTTCATCAGGCGACAGCCAGATTTAGACATTTCAAGTTGCGGGCTTAATTACCGGCAGGCGTTGCAGCATAAGATGAATGCAATGCACAAGCGACTCATTCAAGCGGTCAATCATTCCCCGGAAGCTTCGAGAGATAATACCAGCGCGTCCACATTGGTAGTTCGTTATACTCTGGCAGAATGATGCCCGAACGATTCGTAAAAAAAAAAAACAATAGGCACAACGTTTGCGCAAAGGCAGAAGAAAGTGTTGCCGCAATGTCACGCCTCCCATCGCTGAGACAATTGGCGGACATCGTCGCGTCTACCGGCCCAATGAGTTTTCAATTGCTCGTAACGTACGCAGGGATTGCGTGTCGCAAGAAGATAATCACCTGGAATGTTGGACCCAAGTTCGGGATTCAATTTATAAACAACTCCTCCCATCCGTGTACAAGTCTGCTCAGTTCATCAATCTCTGACACATATAACGAGTTCCAGAGCTATAAGATGAATTCCCCTCTGTCCTTGAAACACATCTGAGCATGAGATGCACGCAAGTGAATTTTAAGTTCGAGTCTTAATCCCATAAATGTGCACGTGCAGCCTATGGGTCCTCCACTTCCACCAACGCAAGCCCTTCTTATCACTCTCCCATTATCCTCTCACAAGTCTCACCCACATGTGTATTTCCCCATGACCGCTTACACCCCGTGAAATGTAAAGCCACACATAGTGTCCTTTGTCGTCCAGCCAAGAGCAAGCAGTGCCCGCAATATCTCGAACATTCCGTGAACGCCACAACTCTTGGGCCTGCCACAAGTGAGTGGGAAGGGGGGATGAAAATGCCACGCGGTGCGAGTGTTGGATATGTGTGTGCCAGTTCGCAGTGAATTGCAGCGGGGATGATAGCGCAACGTTCTTGATTCGGTCTTCGTCGTTGTAGTCAAGGACAGCATCGGTGCCAGGACCAAGTGACGGCGATTTGCGCATTGTCAAGGAACCTGCCAGCTGAGAAATTCGTTTTGAGGCTCAGTATTGGAGGCTTGGCTCGAGGGCAGAGGCCAAATGCTGTAAGCCATGGTTGAGTTATGCTTTATCATGAATGCACCTGGGTGACCAGGTAAGTGGTTTCCTCACCAGGTTGAGGAATGAACGTAATTAATTAACTCTTACTTTCTGCGGGGACTTGTGGATTAACTTTGAACTTGACTAAAAATAATAAATAAAAGTGCTTGAAATTATTGTTCGAGCAGCACATATACTTCCTATTAATTTATTATCTTATTTTTTTTTAAATGATGTAAAATTACTGCAAAACGACGGTATTTGTTTTTGACTCGCGTGAGCATAAAAGAAAAACGCGTTTTCAAAAAACATATTCATGTTTTTTTTTTAAAATTAATGAGCCTAGTCTGCAGTCTCAATTCATGACGGTGAGAGTGCTAAAATAAATGTGAGCCTATTATCTACAAGGTTCTTTGGGCATAAGGCATTAGCTCGTGTCAACCCGTGGAACGAGAGCAGTGAATTATCGGTGTTACGTAAGAGCCATTCTAAAGAAATCCACAGAACGTGAGACGTGCCATCATCTCTCCGACCCGCGGTTGAGCCGGAGCTCTCTCCACGGCAGTGCCACGCTCTGTCATCTTGTTTCTCATACTTTACCACAGAGAGAGAAAAAAAACTAGTTTTGCTGGCTGGCTGGCTGGCTGGCATCCTGCCTGGATTCCTGTCTGTCCCGGCTGGCTGGCATAGAAGTGGTGGCGACGCCGTTGTGCACGTCTTAGCGACGGCGTCGCCCGCGTCCCACGGCGTCGAAGCCAGGGTCATGCATCGCCTGATGAAGCTAGTTGTAATTACTGGCGAAACGTCGTAATGTTGTGGCTTGGCTCTCCAACACACCGGTGTGCTGTACTAGTGACGAATTGGCCACGTTCTGTTTACGTGACAACCCTTACTAGTTGGCTGTGTCAGGGTGATGGCGGGATTTAACGACACATTTATATATTTACGCGATCTAACCCAAGAAAACCCCACTAGTATGGTTGATATTGGTCGCGAAAGCCTGCTACGTGTTAAACTATAACACTATCAACTATGTTTTATTTTACTGGGTAAGGTCCAGAAGCGACTTGACTGTCGCAAATGGTAGTTAAACGAAGTGGCTTATCATGTCGAAATGTATAGCAGCCAAATACTCTCAACGCACGTTTCTAAATGTGGAGGGAAAACCCCGAAGAACTCGGAGAAAAATCCACACGACCACGGGGAAAGCATGAAAACTCCAAATATACAGCAGGCGTCAGGGTCGGGATTGCACCCACGACCTCCTGTAGATCAGGGGAGGTTGCTAACATCTCGACACCGTGGCGACACGATAGAGGAGAGAGAGGGGAAGAAAGAGAGAGGATCGGAAAAGAAAAGAGGGTGGGGAGAGAGTGAGACGAGATCGTGAAATGGAAAGAGAAGAGCGAGCGAGAGCGACACGCAGCGAGAGGGAGGACCACGGAGAGACAAGAGACATTTGAGACGGGAAATGGAGAGCTGTGATTAAGGAAAGTGAGGGTGAGGGAGAGACACGGGGAGAGTGATAGGGGGGCAGGGAAGCGGGTGAGAGAGAGTGGAGGCAGGAGATGAATATAGAGGGAGGGAAGAGGCAGAAGAGGGGGCAGAGGAATACAGAATCAGATATAAATAGAGCCAGAGTGAGTGTAGATGAGAGAGCACGATGAAGAGAGGGCAAGACTCTACATGAGAATCAAAGTTTTTTCTTCTTCTGGCGGCTGGGAGGGACGGACAGACAAGCCGTCACGACCAAAGGATGTGCACCGTTCGTCTTAAAAAAATGTCTCAAACAATATCCAGCGCACTGGTGTCACACACACACCACTCAATCCGGCCCATCAGCACTACAGGGTTAACACATGAAGTACCGCTTTGTGGGAAATAAAGTGTGGTTTGTTTTAAGGAACTATCGGCCCGTACCAGAGGTGTGTCGAATTTCCATGATTGCTTAGGGCTGTCAATGGAGGTGAGCACGCAAGGCACATTTGGATGATGCCCAAAGGCCACACGATGTGGAGTCACCACTGATTTAACGAGTCACACAGCCCTCTCTGGCTCAACGCTGCGTTCATCAGATTTCGAATTGTTCCCAAGACAGCCCTCTTTTGTACGCAACACGTCACTTGTAAAAATCCCTGAAATGAAATGCACATTTCCCCCCACAACATTTTAAAGTGACGTACACGTATGTGCGTCACTTTCAAATTGAATTCACAAACACGTAAATGTATACTCTTCGGTTCTTTCGGTAAAGTCACGTAGGTATAAACAATGAAATAAAATAAATCACGACGTTTCGGGCACAACACAAGCGTCCATCATCAGGTGGGAAAGCATGGTCTGCTGCTGAGGCAGACTGTTTTAAAAGGTTTGAAATGTGAGTAGCTCAAGAGTTATAAAGAAGTGGCCGGGGCAAGTGGTGTTAATGTGAGAAATGAGCATGTAAAAGTACGTCAATGTACCCAACCAATGAGAGCAGAAACCTGCACGAAAAGAGTGCAGACGACACAATGTGCACAATACGTACTCATCGCCGCTTGGACACATACAGGCCATGCTGGCAAGACTACAAACCATGACCATGTTGCCGCATTAGCTTGGATCATCATCACCACCACCCCGCCCGCCTCCTCCCACGGGTGCTCACATCCTGATGCTCAATACACTGCCCCCCAACGTCACACCGATTACGGCCGTCTCGGAGAAACCGCCGCGGCAGCCACGGCACTACGGCTCCCAACTTGTGCTCTCACAGAAAGCGATCATCGACAACAGGAAGGCAGAATGCTTCTTCACAAGTCACCACTCTGGTTATCTAGAAGGAATTCAATCTCCAAATTTCTACTTTAAATATGTAATCAAAAAAATGTATCTATTTTTTGGTGATAAAGCTGCTTAGCCATGGCAATGCCACCCTTAAAGTAGGCCCCCTGAGTCCCAGGCATTTACGCTGAAGCAGCGGTAAACCCCGAGACGTATTCTGTGCCTTTGAGCCGTGAGCACTTTATCACAGGGGGTGTCAGTCTGGCTCTGCGAGCCACCTCAGCGATTAACGCTGAATCCTGAACATCCTAAACGTATCTTGTACTCGTCGTTGCTCAGTTATTCATGTAGCGACCGCGCGCTTGACACATTGGCACATCTCTGGACATGTGCCCCAATGCCATGCCGCCAAACAACCACACGCTCCTGCACGGCGATGCACAGCTGCCGAGCGAGCTCGGCGAGTGCTGACATCGACGTGAACGGAATTTTCAGGCCCGTGGAACGGGGCCCGTACACGAGTCCCATAAAATACATGAAGGGGGTAGAACTTTGAATGCAATTCCCATCAGCGCTGTCCCTCGAAAGCAGAGGTCGGCAACCCGCAGCTCGGGATCCCCCCGTGTGGCTCTTTGGCTGCCCTCTTGTCGGCAGCCATTTAAAAAAAACTGAATTTACTTTATTCGGGTTCTTCACGCTCTGAAATGTTGCACAGTGGGTCTCCACGATTTTACAACACAATGCGGAATCCGCCGCCGTAAATCTGACCCGAGTTAACCCATAGTTGCTCTGTGAGCGTCTCGGTGACAAGGAAATGTCAACAAGAGTCAAACTGCACTGTGTAGGAATAACGAAGGGGGGAGGGGGGAGACACTACCTAAGTAGATGCAGTTCATTCCATCGTCTATATTGTGTATCTAAGTGAGAATGTGTGTTGTCATCTGCTGCACGCCTGCTGCTGCTGTGTCTGTGCAACAAGCTGCTCTCGCTGCGTGCGATGCGGCTCTCGAAAAAAAATGTTGGTCAAAGCCGAAAACGAAGAACAATGTCTCTTCTTTTTCTTTGAAAGGTTTCTGATCCCCTTGCTCTTAAGGGACGCGACAAACCCACGAGGGAATCGTGACTCTGGGTACTCACGTATGATGACGAGAACGACCAGAGCGCAGATCACGCCCAGAATGATCATCATCTGCCAGGGGAAACGGAGAGAACGCAAAGAGACCCATGCATGTGTCTCCCACGGCACGCCAACGGCAACTCACGTGGCACAGCAATCAAATGCCCGTTCCTTATTGTAACCGCTCGACAGCTCGGTGAGCTGCGATGCGGTATTTGCGCCCTGAGAACGATTGTTTGAGGGCAGTTTATGAATGTAAATTATTATTATTATGACGTTCAAAAAGGTGGCATTTTCAAGTAACGTTCCTTCGGTGCAATGACGTCATGCAATTGCCCAAAATATCATCACATGTGACACGCATGTTTACCGTGACACGCGTGTTTACCGTGACAAGCGTATTGACCGTGACACGCTTATTTGCCAGGACACGCTGATTTACCGTGACACGCGCATTTACGGCCGAGGACAAACTGTTTGTTTGTTGTTAGTCGTGCTCGTAGCGCCGCTGCCAATGCGGTAGCACCAAACGATTTGTCGAGCCCGACGCATCGTACCGCGGCAAGCAGCCACGCCAGCTTGGCGGGTGGGGCGGTGACCAATGCGAGCTACGAGGTGGAGACGCGGGAGACGACGGTGGCACCGTTACCTTGCAGTTTTTCCACCAGTACTTGCGCTTCAGCTTCGCGGCGCTGCTCTCGAACTGCGAGGCTCCCTGCTGCAGCGCGTCGGCGCGATCGTCCAGTTCCGAGAGCTTCTGATCGCGCTCCAGAACCTTGTCCACGTTCACTCGCATGATGTCCACCACCTGCCCCGGGGCACGCACACACACACGCGCACAGCGCTCAACTGCGGGGTGGTATTCACAACGCCCGGTCTCCTACACCATCCGTTTGTTAATGTGAACCTGTAGCTCCGTGGTACAGCTGCATTCGTGCAAATTGCATCTCATAATCGGCGAGGAACGACGGGTGAGCGGGTTGGCAGCAGCCAGGGGGAGAGCCGGCGCTACCAACAATTGCCAAAGCTCTGCAGTACTCTATATATACAGGGTGTTGAACAAAGATTGACCCGATTTGAAATCGCTATATCTCTGCAAACACGAACCGTCCACGAATGAAACTCTTACCACTTGAAAGGGCGGAGCATAGAGTTTCAACTGATTGCCGCAAGATGCCTCTCCCAGCGCACAAACAGCCCCTAGCCTCAGTCATTCGCAAGACGGTGACCCCACAACACAAGGGGCGTTTTGCGTTCTGCAGTTCAGCAAGACTGAATCCGTAATTGCGGTGCAGTGTGCGTTTCATCACACCCTGCAACTTTTTCTTGTGGGGATACGTCAAAGACCGTGCTTTTGTGCCACCATTAGTGACTAATCTGGAAGAACTCAAAAACATAATCACGGCAGCGGTAAATTTATTGGAAGAAGAAACTTTGAGAGGCGTTTGGGACGAATTCAACTATCGTCTCGATGTTGTCCGTACAGCAGGTGGAGGGCACATAGAGCATTTATAAAATGGTTAATAAAACTTGATAACTCATTAAACCGTGTGTAACTTTTGTGTAATTGTAACATGTTGCCATCGTGAAATATACTGCTTCGAAATTGGGTCATTCTTTTTAGAAGACCCTGTATCAAGATTTTTTTCAGCCAGTTATGAGTATTTTGACGTGTGGGAGGAACAGATGGAGATTAGTTCACACTTTCTGAACCACCTTCTAATGGCAATCCACGGTATTTTCTCATCTTTTGCAGATGTGTCTGTTGAGATCGTAATTTGGCTAATGCTCATTATAATTTTTCGAAATTGCTGCAAATTTGTATCAAACATGTAACAAATTTGTGTTGTTATTGCAAACTACAAGCACTGAAAATGTCACGCGAACGTTTTTACATTTCAAATTAAACGTGAATACAAATGGGTCGTCTCGCTAGTGTGATCCACACATGGACAACGAGTACTTCCCTTCTGTTAATGTGGTTCATTTAATTAAAATAGTGGAGAAAAAAATAAAAATATATAGAAGCCACTTATTTCCTGGAGTATCCAAGTTTATCCCTCAAGCCAAGTGCCGCTCTGTGCATAGGTGGAGCGATGTCCCCACAAGCAAGAATCAATTCGCGAACCCAATCGTGACCGCGTTGATGACGGCAATTCCATGAATCGCCGTGGACGCCAGGTGAGTGTAATGGGGAAGGAGGAATCATTCCCCCACGAAGATTAGTCGCCGCCACCGCCGCTCGTGGCATCCCACCGCCCCGATCATCTCACCTCGTCCACTTGCGCCTGGGTCTGCTGAAGTCGCCGGTTGCTGGTGAGGTTGGGGGGCGGCCCCCCCGGGGGTCCGCCAGCACCGCCAGGGGCTCCGGCCTCGGGTGTGGACCTACAGGACAAGCAGGGATGAAGGTGGAGGGGTTGGCAGGCGGGGGGTTAGGAGGGGAATGTCCCAAGGCGGATTTAATGGATGTGACGTTGACGATGGACTGGACTGGAAGACTGGATGGACGTCATTTAAAGTTTCGCCCCCACTCTTCACGGACTGTGGCACTACCATCATGGCTGGCGTGGTAGGTCCACGAGCATTGTGATACCGGCATCAGTCGGCAAATCAGTTCCGGATTATCCCAGTAGCACAAGTAGCTGCATATGTAGTAGCTACACAAGTAGCTACATATGTAGTAGCATAAGTAGCTGCATATACTACGGGCCCCGCACTTTCAAGGGCCTCACGTTAAATGCTTTCAAGCTATCAATTCCGGATCAGTGATTCTGCACTTGCTCTATTACTATAATACTATACCGCCTTCAACTTTTATGAACGACTGGGTGTTTAATGTTAGCGATTTGTCGTATTATCTGGCTGTATCGAAAATGAAAAAATACAATTACTTTACTGTGCAAGTTAAACATTTGTGTTTTAATATTTAGGTGTTTTATTTATTTATTTACGGTCCCTTTATAACATATGCTACAGGCCCCACACTAGCTTAATCCGGCACTGCTGCAAATACCAGAGTCGCATTGTATTGCCCTTAAGAGTGTAGCCGGAGACTCTCACCAAATACATTTTGAACGGATTAGCAAGAGGAAGAAAAGCGAAATTGGATTGCATGTGACATTTGTGGTTATTTTCATGCAACAATTTACACAGAGTCTCCGTTACACGCGCACGACGTTGCATCTGAATGGCCGATAACCAGACTATAAATAAACACATCGATCCATTCATTCATTGTATCGAATGCTTCATCTAATACATTATTACTTGTAAGCGGAAGTGAGCCCTTCGGGAATACTAATCAGTTTTCACTCTGGTTGTCTCTCTTTGGTCCACACTGCTCCAGCTCATTCCCCATACGAACTGCATTGCGAATGTTCACATGGATCATATTTGAACAAGCAAACGCTACGAACACAACTGCACCGCCGTGAGTAAAATTGAGTGGTCTTTTCTTTGATGTTCTACATTTATATACGAATCATCACGCGTGCCCCGTACGACAGCTGGCTAATGCCAGGTGGCCAAGAGTCCCACCTCATCGTCCGCTGATTGCGGGCGCGCCAGGCGGAAGGCACGCAGGCCTCGGGTGGCTGACACTAGGCACGTCCACTCACGAGGCGCGCACTGCCACGCGCAGCAGCAGCAGCAAGCGGCGTGTGCGTCACGGCCGCGCGGTACGAATGTTGAGTGGAATTCGGGTGAAGCCCGCCGAGGTAAAACGTGACCTCTACACACGACGACGATTGCCATT